TCTCCCTCACAATCCTGAAAACCCAGCAGGAGGACCTGGGTTTCAGATCCAGCCCTCTCCACATGGGCCACTCCCAGGAACAGAATTATGTCCGGACAGTGTATCTTCTTTATGGCATTGAATACCAGGATTTTTCAAGCTGAACTCTAAAATCAATAATAAAATTCAACTGACTGGAATGCAGTGAAATCTAAAATCACTTTATCCTTCGATCTTTCAGATGTGGAAACAATAATCAGCACTTACATGTTCCCAACTGCCATCTAAATTTATCCTAAATAAAACTGTGACCATGGACAGGAGATGCCTGAGGCAGTACAAGGGGTTTGCCTGTAGGTTTGAGGCATCACACACTCTGAGCCATAGGCTGATGCTCTGGCGTCTGCCCTCAGCTGGGTCAGCTCTCTGAATGCTCCCGTGCTCTCCCAGAACGAGTGAACACCGGCACCTGGCCGGACACACTTGCCTCGCTGCTCATGTGGGGACCGTGGGACGGGAGGCCATGTGGTGGGGCGGTAACTCAGGAGAGATGCCGGGCTCTGCCCCTACCGGGTGCAGACGGCCTGCACTGCAGCAGCCAGTCTGTAATGTGCAGACACAGTTCTGGGTTCGTCCACTCAGTTCATCCTTCAACAAATATCTGGGAATGCTCACTTGCTGTGGAAGGAGAGTAGGGTCTGACTGTGGGTTGGGGTGGGGGCGGAATCAAGTATTCCACAACCAACAGCTATCTATAATTTTGTAAGTATTTCAGAAGCAGGATGTGGTGAAGATCGGGACAGGAGGGCCTGTCCTAACCCCAGGGTTCAGGGAAGTAATCTCTGCAGAAGTGACACTGAACCTGAGCTTTAAATGATGCACAGGTGCAGGCAGAGAGCACAAGCATGTGCAGAACGCCTCACGTGGAAACAGCGTGAACAGTGGATGAAGTTCAGCACATGAAGGTTGGAGGAGCTGAAGAAAGGCCAGGTCACTGTGTGTGAGGCCCTCATGATGCAGACAAGTTTACACTCCCATGCAGGGCCATCTGCTGTCTCCAGTGGGAGCACACATGGCCTAATAAATTCATCCCAAAAGAGGCCCCTTCTCTGAGGAGGCTGTTCATGTGGGTCCCACAGCCCATTCCCAGGGAGCATAAAGGACACAGACACACTTGCCCTCTGGTCATGATAGCTGAATTCATCAAGATTTTCTCAACCGCTCAGTCGTAAATCCCTGTATATGGTCAAGGAAAGTTTCACTGTGTGTGGTCACACTGGAATTTTAGGACTTTATATCACCCTGACCTGTCATGAAGCAGTGAAGACTCAATTATAGAAGCTGACACTATGTTATTAAGATATCCCTGAAGAGAGTGGTAGAGAGTGGATTTTTTTCTGTTTTTACCAGTTTTATCAAGTTTAGAGATTAATGAGACATTATAGAGCCAAAAAACTGCAGGAGGACTAGTACCAAAAGAGTAAGTTTTCCTAACTAATGTTTTCTCTGTGAAAATGATTTTCAATATATTCTTTCTGGCCCCTTCCTTCATTAAATACATAATTTTCATTTTCCTTTCTAGCTTCTGGCCCACTTCTCCTCATCTAGATTTAGGTAAGCATTCAACATTGTGCCCACTGAAGACGACGTATGTTCCAGGGGCACCTGAGTCACCACCAGACATTCTGTGACAGTCACCTCTCCTGTGCAGAGGAGAAAACCAGGAAACAGCTTGCCTCCTGCGCCCTTCCCTGGGACAGCTGACGCTCGGCAGCTCCAGCTCAAGAACGCCTCTACAAACTGTCCTAATTCATAACCATGTGTCTAATCCAAACAACGTCCTAGAAGTATTTTTAGAATAGTTTCTAGAGAAATCTTAATATTTTCTCTGATAAATAAAAATAAGAAAAAAAGAAGTCAAGTTCATCAAAACACAAACTCCTTATAGAAAACTGTGTGGTAGGGTAAGGGTGAATGAAAAAGAAAACAAGATGTTTTTCATGAAGATCCTATAACAAAAGAATGATTTCCAAGAACTAGTCAAGAAAGACTTCTCTGATTTAGAGCCACCTGCTCTCCTCACTGCTCCCCAGGGACAAAGTTATACATAGCGAATGATCATTCACCCAGGGCAGCGTCTCAGAAATAAATATTAGCAGTAAAAGCTGCAATAAAAAGCAGTAAAAGCCGGGCACCCAGCCCCCGATCCTAGAACCATGGGGGAACCTGCCTTCCCCGTCCCAGTGGAAACGGGGGTGGCCCACAGGTCACGGCACAGCTCTCTCCTCCTCACACTTCAATCAAGTGCATGAGGCTTATGTAACTCATGAAATGGACCCCACAGCTAACGCCCAACTCTGCCACCCACTCGTAAACCCTCTATCCTTCCACAAGGACATTCCCTACATCCGTCAGCAAGCTGGCCTGGAGAGGACAAACATAAGCCGCAGCAGAGCGACCCCACTGGGGCGCCCCCTTCCGAGATCCTGGGGGCCAACGGTAATATTAAAGCTTCTCTCTCTATTATTTGTACATAATTTTCAAACAATGCCTTTTATTTGAGGTAAAGCCCTGAAGATAAGCCTAAAGATTACAAATGCTTATTTTCTTATTCTACCAAAAGGTGCACTGAACTCATCTTTTGGGGCTTCTTATATTCCAAATATTGTCCACTAAAGTAATTTTGACCTCTGAATAGGATCAGTACCTCTAAGAATACACTCTGATTAATAGGTTTGATTTTTCTACTTCAGAACTCCCTAAACTGTGTCCTTTGGCGACAGGAATATGATGGAGCTGTAGTGCTCGCTCCTTTCACAGACCTGAGGCCAGGACACACTCGTTCGTCCTTCACCTAGGTCTTTGGCTATGAGGCAAGGATTACTGGAAGACTGACAATTTTAGGAAGAGTTTTATGATGTGTCACGTATTCTTCTTTCTCAGTGTTTTATAAGTGGTGCTCCTGCTGCAAAAGCAGGGCTATAAAAGCAGCCCATCATATTTTAATAGAAAACACTCAGAACTGGGCCCTGAGTCTGCAGGATGATCATGGTTCTGGGGTCTGCCACAAGCTCTGTGATTAGGGGCACTCTGGCCCTCGATGGATAAGTCGCATGAGCTCATCTGGAGGGTGGGGGACTCAGAAATAAGACCCTTCTGGGATCCCCCAACGCTAGGCCTACACTTTTGTTCAGAATGGCGTTAGGTGGAGGGTCCATTTCAAACACGTCCCTGCCATGCGGTTTCTCGCTCTCAGTAAAGTGCGCTCACCAAAACGAAAGTAAAACAGCGGTCGGTTTCCTGCGGTGCTGGCCGCCCGCTCTCGGACAGCGGCTTCTCGGATGTCACACACCCCGATGTTGCCAGAGTGCAGCATTCTTCTCGGGGCTCCTTCACTGTGCTGCAGTCTACACCGGACCACGGCAGCTCCATTCGCTGCTGTAACAAGTTGAAAAAAAACTAATTAATTCAAACTTTAGTTTTTTTTAAATTTGTTACAGCGCTGAGCAGAGCTGCCGACCCCATGCAGAACAGCACAAAAAACACCAAAGGACCAGCAACATGGGTCCAACCTGAGCGCCCAGCCAACACAGGTCAACCGTGGTCTCGGCACGGCCGCCGCTGGAGAACCTCTTCTGGGAACACACACAACTGCTTCTGGCTCACTTTTGTTTGGTAAGGCAGAGAAATCGAATCCAACAACGTCAGGAGCCTACAGCCAGCCCTCCTCCAGGACGTGGAGGGGCCGCCTGCAGAGACGAGTGACAGGCCATGAAGAGGCCATCACCACACGGTTCTGTTGGAGGACAGAGAAAGAAGGAAGGGGGACCACGTCTAATCATCTGCCCCTCATCTGCTCCGAAAGCCTTTCACACATGGGTGTCAGCCAACCAAACACTGATTTACTTTTAATGCACTCGGATAGAACTGTGCTGCTTCCTTTTATAAGCCTGACAGCAGGAAAATCCATCCCGTCAGCTCGGTACATCCTATACAACAGGTCCAAGTTTATGGTAACTTTCTCAAAGATCAAGGAAACAAAGAAAAACACAAAATCAAAACAAAACTACAAACACAGCAGAAATTAAACACACAAATGAAGTCTCCTGGAATGTGAGCTCCAGGGAAGGCTCCTTACTGTGCTAACAGAACCCTGTGGGGTATGTCACAGCCTGGAGAGGAGGGACGGACTGGGGCTGTGTGGACTCAAACCTCTCCTAGCAGAAGCATCTGGGCAAGGCTTTAAAATTGTGTTTCAACAGCGAAAACCAGAGTTCAAGTAGCACTTTTAAAATGTATGTTGCTCTCCTTTTTCCTTGAGGACTCGTGTTACTTGAAGCTATTCCCAAAGCCTAGCAATCTTCAAGGTCACCCTCAAACTGAACTGAGCTCTCATCAGAATTCCAGCCTAGTATTATTTTCTTCCTCCTTAAATGTATGGAACCTAGCTCAAGTGCAAAGAGATTCTACAAACTACACATGTGAAAATGCTGGAATGAAACAGACTTTACTTTTGGGAAGAACCCATAACATTTTACAATCATGTTTCAAAACACAACCAGCCTTCATGATTTCATAGTCCCAGGCAGGACATTATATCATTTTCTAGATTTCTAGGTTTGCGCCCCCTGCCCCAAGACATCAATAAACACCTGGGATTAATTTAAACCATAATCAATAGCAATAACTTTTTATCTCACTAAAGTAAAAGTCATTTTAAATCATAAACACTCTTATACTTTTATGATTATAGCATTTTAAAGTAATCAAACATATTATTGCCCTCTATAGAGGAAACACCTATTATATTTATTAGGCACATTTATAGAAAAATCATATGTGCCTTCTACATTCACAAAATATACGTGCACTCATACGAAGGAGTCAGAAGTGGCCACACCATGTCGGCCGTGTGGTCTCCACACAGATCAGGGACCACGGAAGGACGTGCGCTCAGGTGTTTCTCCTGCACATTGCAGTTAACACTAGACGCTTCATGCTCCTCAGAAAGGTTTACGTACTCGGAGGCTGGGGCAGGTAGGCTCCAATCAGTTTCGACCTCTTCTTTTCATATCCTTTTTGTGTGATGTCACCTGGAAGTGAAGGAAAGAAAGAACGGTTTCAATGGGTAGAGTTGATCCCTCAACAGAGCCCAAGACGACGTATAGTTACATCCTGTGTGTCTTCTGTTTGCCTTAGCATTTAATAAGAAAGCATTCCACATTGCTCACATTGACTCTTCCCCTGCCCACAAAGTCATTTAAATCCTTTGCTGTGCACATGCTGTCCTGGCCCCTCCTCGAAAGGTTTTGGCTCTGATGGGGTCCAGAATTAGATTCTTGCCATCTTATTCACATCTGCTGGAGCAGGAAACCTCCCCAATCTGCACAGCTCTCATTAACTTAATCAACAACGAATTGTGCAGGCATCTACCCAGTGACAGCTGGCCAAAAGCATTACTGATTAGCATCTTCCTCCATTAATGAGATTTTCTCTAATCAGGCTCATCAATCCCGAGGACTTTAAACTGCCAGGGTATTTTTGAAAATAAGTGACTAAGACCAAATGAAACATTCAATAAAACAAAGCACGACAACACGAGACCTACGGAAATCCAAAATATGTGAGAAAGGTGCTCATCGTTGACACAAGAATTAAAATGTTAAAGCCCGAGATTCACGTTCAGAAGAGCTAAGGTCATCACTATGCTGACATTTTTCCTAAATGCTAAGTACCTGGGACAAAATAACCTTTATGACACACAACAGCCTTTTCCAATTACAAGCGCTAATGCACACAAAATGTTGATTTTGCCCTTGAATTTTTTGGAATCTGTTAAATTTTTTCCCTAATATTCTGATCAAACCATCATTCCTAGGAGATCTAAAAACCCAAGTTTTAATAAAAATATAGCAAACAAATGAAAAGTTACTGAGTCATACACAAACGGGTAAATTTTCTTTTCCTAGCGATGTATGCTCACTAAATTTTATCAAACCATAAGGCACCCTGAGTGTTTGATGACTGACCCAGCTAAGTAACAGCTAACTACAGTCTTGTCTACCCCAAGAAATGCATGGCTAGTTTTTAAACACAGAGCCGTAAACAACAGAAATAGATAGAAAACGCGTTCCACTATTGATTGATGAGCATTTTTGATGCCACAGGTGTGCCAGCGGCCACTGTCAGTGAGCAGGTCTGTGACTGTGAAGCACAGCACCGGCCCTTAGGTGTGCCGTGCACTACAGACACGTCCATTCCCCTCCTCAGCACTGAGGCTGCTCAGTTGCTTTTGGAAATGCCTCATAAATCCCCCATTTTAAAAGGATGTCCAAAATCTCAACAATCAAAAAATTCCACATGCATGTACACACTCGGGAGTATCTTTGTGATTTATCAGGAAAACATTAAGACACTGGCTGAAATGACTTTCACACCTTACCCCTTCTGATTTCTGTCTACAGACTCCTACGCACCTTGTAACACTACGAGAAAAAGCAAAAACCTGGCTTAGAGAAAACATGATAAAAACAATCTGCAGAAGAAATACAATCGCGAAGCCTAGAAGCTGTGTCAGTGGTGGGTGAGACTATGCCCACTGATGAGGGTGAGGGGTGGTCAGTGGGTGGACGTCAATCTGCCTGAGGGTGGAATGAAAAGAAAAGGAAGCCCCAGGGGATGGCCTAGGCTCCCCACTCTGCACACAGAAAACGAAGGAGCTTTCTGCTCTTAGACAGCAAAGCAGAAAGGACCTCCCAGCCCCTTCTCTCAGCCTCGCAGGGACCCCGAGAAGGTAGCTGCCACCAGCCTCCGGGGCAGAGATTCACTGTCCTTCACCACGTTCTTCTCTCACCACTCTCTGAAAACAATAAAACTACTGAGGAAGCCATGCTAACTGTACTGCCACTTTATCCTGTGGCTCATGCTCAGCATTTTACAAATTCAGAACCAGTCTGCTCCCTGCAACTGAGGGGACACCCAGATGAAAATGAAAGCAGGGAACAAGCAAAGGGACACATGAGTGAGGTGCACTGGTGGGGTCACAACCAACGAGCACACACTGGCCACCTCAGAGGCTACCCTAGCACTAGGTAGACGCCTACTGTTCACCTTGGTCCCCATTCCTCTCCCCGCCAACTGCACACTGTTCCATGCTTGTGGACCTCAAAGCTCTTCGCACATTTCTACAATCGCATTTCAGCCCTGGAAAATCAGCCCCCTTTCACAGTTTGTTCTACACCCAAAATTCAGCTCAAGTTTTAAAAATTTCTCAGATGAACATTTAAGTATGTCGGGGGGGGGTCCTCCTTTAATATTCAGTGTAAGCCAACTTCGAAGGAAACTCACTTTTAACTCTGTCTTACTTTGGAAAGCTCCAACTGCTAAGACCTTAAGCCTAAAGGAAAAAAAAGCACTTTCCCCCAAGAAACCACGATTCCTCTTAAAGGGGAAGACGTCAGTGTTGGCCTCCAGGCCGCTCAGGTTCCTGACCCCAGACTCGAAGGGCTGAGTTGAAGGAGGAGTTAGGTGTTTTATTTTAGCTCCACTACTAAATCGTGCTCACTAAGCAATCAGCTCACAGAGAACTTCCAGATACGACTTTCAGAAATCCCAGGTGACCACCATCTCTTGAAACCTGGACGAGGGGAAAGGAGGCACTATTTATTGAATAACTTCCACACACTTTTGTAAATCAGAGGTTGTCAAACGACAAACCCAGCCTGAGGGCCATCTCCATAAATAAAGTTTCACTGGCACAAGCTGTGCTCCCTGTAGGCACAACACCACAGACTGGATGCCGAAAGCCCAAAGCATTTACTGCCTGGCCCCTTACAGAAACATTTGGTGATCCCTATCCCACATGTCCTAAGTAATCTCTTTTAATCCTGATAACAACTGCTTTCATAGGTAAGAAACTTGAGGCACAAATAGTATTTATGTTTCTCACCCAGTGCCCCAGATCCAAGAAGAAAACAAACTCTGTCCAAGTCTGAAACTTTTTCCCATTGAAGCCACATCTGGAATCTTCCACTCAGCCTACACTGATGTGGTCAGCATTCTGCCACCTGGATGCCCTGCCCAGCTCTCCACCTGGCCTCCCACTGCCTGCTTTCACCCTCCCAGAATCCGCCCCACCTCAGTGACAGCGCAGCCTTTGGGCTCCCAGAGAATCTCAGAATCTCTCTCCCAGAGAATTTGAGAATCCTGCACCAGGCACGGTGGTGCTCTCCTCCTGAGGCCTTGGATGGCTGCTAATGGTGACGCTTTCATGGGTCAGTGTCATAAAGAAGCGAGTCCCAATCCTGCTGTTTTACAAATAGGACTGCATGATGACAGATTTAGTCACACCACTAACATAGAGACACAAACGTCACAGAGTGACTTCACGTAAATCACTAGACAGCAGCTGCATTCATAAACACAGGGTGATTATTTAACTGTTTAGTGACTGTATGGGGAAAGGGCAGAGGGGAAAATTGATAATGAGTCCATCATTAAAGTGTATAAGACAACAGCTTGGCTTGTGTGTTATGCAAAAGGATCAAGCATCTCTGGCAAGGGCCCAGATTCATTCAGGCACCCCAAGCATCAGAGCTAAAAACGCCTTTGCGACATTTTCCTTTCCATGGAGCGAGTCCAGTTATTTTTAACTCTGGAACTACTTTAGCATCTGGCAGACAGAGGTCCAACAGATTATCTCTGACAAACTCTCAGGGCAAATTTATATAAGCAAACTTCCTAGGAGGGGGCTCTTACGTGCTGTCCTTTGTTCTGAAGCATCCAAGGAGGGTTTTTGTGCTAATACAATAATAAAGATAGATAGATAAGACAGAGATATTAGACAGAAAGTATATAGATGATACATGATTGACAGACAGATGAAAAAAGACAGACGAATGAAAGATAGATAGGATAGACAGATGCTGGCTAGCCGGCTGGCTTTACACAACTCTATCCACCCAGAATGCCTCCTTGCTTTCTGTCCAAGATTGACCTAAAATCAACACCTTGATATCACCATAGAAACACATGGTGTTTCTCCTCCATTTTACGGCAGTTCAGGCTGAAGGATCAGTCGGCTGCTCCTCCTCACCTTGGATCTGTAATCAGCACACAGTCTTCAGGGTACAACTTTGTAAACTCAAGGCAGAAAGGCTACAAAAGAGAGGAACCACTCCACATCACATTTCTAAGCAAGGTTTTCTTTAATACCTATCATTCCACAAGGACTATTCCATGGTTTACAGCAGGTTAATTAGTATTTTTTCAACCTGGAAGCTAAAAGAATACCATTCAAGGAAACGTGTAGCTCATTTCCCCCTGACGCTCCCTACAGAATTTTGCTCCTTGAAAAAGTTAATGTTAAAAGACATGAACCACAGGATCCCTTGCTCGAGGATTTCCCACATAAAATTCCAAATAGCATATTTTCCACGCTTCGATACTCAAGATATCTATTTATTAAACTCCCTTTTCATTTTAGGAATAAGAATATATGACAGAAAAGGAAATACAGAAATTGTTTGTAACCTCAGTGAGGAGAAAATGAAAGTGATCTTTTGAAACACTTTCCACGTTATCAAAAATGTTATGTATATTATTATCGTCAAAGAAGTTCCATAAGACTTAAAGTTGTCATGTGTTCTGTTACAAAGAAAAGGGAGATTCACAGACAAGTCATAAATTTAAAATGAAAATACAAGTAAAGCAAAACCACCAGTACACAGCTGAGTAACACTGAGATAATTCATCTTTCCCCTCCCCAAAAGGAAGAATTCTTTGTCTTACTTATATTGTAGTCCAGAGTTTCCCTGAGTCTGAGAAAAGTGAAGGAAAAGTCAGCCCAGCAAATGCAAAGAGTGAAGGGGACACCTCAGCTCCTCTGTTTGTCCATCTTGGCCTCATTCTGGCAAACTCGGACCCAACAGGAATTTGTGCAGTCACCAGCCTGTGAACGTCTGGTCAGGATGGGAAAGCCCAGAGAGCCATGTGGTCTCCAGGCAACTGAGCGCTCCCCACGAGTAACGTATGTGCCACAAAGCCACCTCCACGGCTAGAATCAGTTCAGAGTAAACAGACCAGCTTAACGGCGATGGTTTCCATTCTTGGTGTCAGAAGTTTATTTTATTATTTAATACTGGAACGAATGCTTTATATAACAAAGCAATCATTTCCATGTTTGGAATTTTATGGCTGTCAGGAACCTTCATAATGTTGCTCTCCTAAGCCGATGGCTTTATAAGGTGGAGGGAGCACCCTTGAAGGCACCCTCCTGCTCGCCCAGCTGCTGGAGGCGTGTTTGTCAGCTCCGCGCTAAGCTTTTCATTTCTGCAGAACGAGACTGTGACGTCTGTGGCAAGTACTCACCTGTCCAGGGGAGAAGCAGGCAGACCAGGGACCTCTCCTTGCCCTGAACACAGCTGACCTTGCGGGGTCCCCCGGCTAACTTCTTTAGGTCTCATTTTTCTCGTTAATAAAATGTTGGTAATAACACCTATTACCTTCTACCATAGTTGAAAAGGCCAAATACACAGAATGTGAAATGTCCCGGTAAGCATGAAGCAGGTAAGAAAATGTATTTTAAAAACCCTAAAAGTACTCATCCAGCATCTATTATATGTTCAAACTTGTGACAGACAGTAGGAGGCACCCAGCTCAGCTCCTGCTCCAGAAGTTCTCCGAGTTGGGAGGGAAGACTCGTGAAAACCACCTTGCTCAGTGTGCTACAACTAGTACACAGTAAGAAGCTGGAAGGATGATAGTGATGGCCCCTCCAGGGCAGGTGAGGCCAAGGACAGATTATAGAAGCATCAGAAATTCTGAGCAGACTCAATCCTGACCTCTTAAGCATCCATCTCTTCTCTTTCACTCCCACCTCTACCCAACACCAGCCACCATTAGCTCTCCTTGCAGCACCCAAACAGCCCCTCACAGCCCCTGATCTCCAGGCCCAACCACCCCGTCCTCTCTCCACATGCAGCTCCCTGATCTTCACTAAAAGGTCAACGTGATCACGTGACCTCACTACTGGGAGCCTGTTGCAGGCTGCTCCCCGCTTCGGGATTGACAGCAAACTCATCAGCAGGACCTGGTCCTTCCAGAGCCTCGCCCCATGTCTCGCCACGTTCATATCACTTCACAATTATTGTTTTCCTTTGTTACTATCTGCACTGCTGCATTATCATTCCTTAATTTTTCTCAGGTTTATGCCATATTTCCAATGTAAAATTTAGAAATTTGCATTCCATAAGGATATTTTAAATAAGGTATTCAGGATTAATATAAATCTTCTCTAGCATTATAAAATCATCCAGACTTCTTCAAATACTCAGTATAATGGGAAAAAAACTCTCAAGAACTATAGAGTAACATGACTAGGATTTTTACGTTTATATGAATGACCATAAAGTTCCTTAAAACATTTAGTTAACGGTATGATGAGAAAGAAAACAATATATATATTTTTTTATTTTATTTATTTATTTATTTTTTGTGAGGAAGATTGGCCCTGAGCTAACATCTACCAATCCTCCTCTTTTTGCTGAGGAAGACTGGCCTTGGGCTAACATCCATGCCCATCTTCCTCTACTTTATATGGGACGCCGCCATAGTATGGCTCAACAAACAGTGCGTCAGTGCGTGCCCGGGATCCGAACTGGTGAACCCTGGGCCAATGCAGCGGAGCACGCGCACTTAACCGCTTGTGCCACCGGGCCAGCCCCAAGAAAACAATATATTTTAAATGTACCACTATGTTAAAATCTTAAGCCAGTAAAGTCTCAGAGGTTATCACTAACAGTTTTACTTTTGTTTTTTTTTGTTGTTGTTTCTTTTTAAAATATTATCATAAGTCCTCTGTAGCTTTTCTCTTTGATATGTAAAGAACTCCAATTGCAGGAGGGATTAAAGAAAATAACCTGTTTGGAATCCATTCTATTCTTTTTTTTTTTTTTTTTGAGGAAGACTGACCCTGTGCTAACATCTGTTGCCAATCTTCCTCTTTTTCTTTTTTCTCCCCAAAGCCCCAGTACATAGTTGTGTATCATAGCTGTAGAGTTATAGCTCTTCTAGGTGGGACACCACCTCAGCACGGCTTGATGTGTGGTGAGTAGGTCCACGCCTAGGTCCACCACCTAGGGTGGCCTGAGGGTGGGTTTCAGGGTCCCCTCGGGTCTGTCTGCCCCCCGGGAGTTCTACAGGCCTGTGAGAGAAGGTCATGCCAGGTGAGCACATCACAGGTAAATCCAGGTCCAGGGCTTCATCCAGGTTCTGTCCCACCAGTGTTCCCCATTCACACATTAACTTCCTTATCAGAACCAACATCCTCCACCTTGTGTGCTGGACAGAGCACAAAGTGAACACACTCTATCTGGAAGGCTGACCAGGGCCCACCAGCACAAGGGGCTTTTGACCTCTCAAAAACCAGATGACTTGACTTAAAGGCAGAACAAGGACAAAAATTCTGTTTCTTCTAAGCAGCAACAAGGGCTTTTACCACAAGATTTAAAGAGCACTACATTACATTTCACATAAATTTGCAGGACTAAATTTAAGAGAAAAATTAACCCATTACATCAGCTAGATAAATCCGAACAATCACCTTTATTTGTGAGAAAATATTTAAATGCACACACACTCATATTTTCTCCATTGTTAAATTTAAAAAATAATTTCTGACACAATGAATTTAATGTTTAAGTGCAAGTGAATGGGGGAAAAAAAAAAACCCCTGTGAATCCTTCCCACCTCACCTCCAGAAACTATTTATAGATTTTGAATATTGGTCGGTGTGGAAAGAATTCTGTGCTTTTTCAAGTAAGTGAATCTTATACTGAAAAGAAAAATAAAAGATGCTAAAGTATATCTTGAAGATCTTAGAACATTCAGCAGGCAAGGAGAAAGAACACACGTTTTGTCTCCTCTAGTATTGGCTGGTTGTTACACTGTAGCAGCTGTTTTTCTTCTCACCAACTTCAGAATAAATACAGCTGGCCCTCGGAATCCGCAGGGTCCACGTCCTCAGAGTCAACCAACCATGGATGGTAAACACAGTACACAATCCACTCTTGGTTAAATCCGAGGATGTGGACCCCGCGGACACCAGGGGCAGACTAAGGGACTCAAGCATCCGAGGATTTTGGTATGGGGAGGGGGGGTCCTGGTACCAATCACCTGCGGATACTGAGGGATAACTACACTCACTGACAACAGGGAGACAGGGAACAGCTTGTCACACTCAACTTGTAAAATGTGTTTGGTGCTGCAACTGGCTGAACACCCTGTCTTCTCCCAAATGCTTATCCTTTATGAACTTAAACTTGATTTAGTAAAGTTCAATCCTATAATACACGTCAATTACTCAGATCTAGATAAAGCTAATTTGTAGGCAGCTAGATGCCCAATATTCCTTTAACAATGACAATGATAAGACAGAGAAGCTTCACTGTGACAGTCCTCCAGCGGTACCTTACCTGCTATAGAATTCAGGGAACATGGAGGGAGGTGCAGGTAGAATTTCTTGAGGCAACTATCATACACTGGGAGGGGGAATCTCAAAACATAAATGTCACACAATTAGTTATTTTGGAATAGGTTGGTACAGGGAAGATATATGTAAAGAGTTTTAAAAATACTTAAGTGTTTTCCAACATTCCACTATCTGGCCAACTTACCTCCTAGCAGCCTTCTCTGTGGCGACAATGGTCTTGTTGCTACTACTGCTCTTCTGGCCTGTGATCATTTCTCACTTCACTAAGGATAGGGAAAGAAATACCATGTACAAATTGTGGTGTCCAAGAAATGATTCTTGGTCTTACCATGAGGCAATCAACTGAAGGAAAATGCTTGGTGCCCTCTGAACATCAGTGGATGGCATGCTTGCATTTGTGCAAAGTGCAGATGACTCTGGGGTAGACCAGATGTCTCTCACAATCAGTCACAGGGCTGTGCAAGCCTCGCTCACCTCTCACTCCTGGGCCCTGGTCAACTCTTACCCCACCAGGACAGTACCGTGAGGCCAGGCTCCGCACCTGCTGCGGATGAACAGTGCCAACACTGCCAGTCCTGCTTCCACTGGGCCCCAGGCAGCGGGCTGGTTAGGAATGCACTTGCTGTCCATCAATGACTGTTTGACTTAGATTTAATTTACCTGACATTCAATTCCACTCATTCCTTCTCAGCTAAATAAAATTCTTCAAGCAAGAAATCAGCTCACCTCAAGACTTATAGCATGTACCTTGCCCCCATCTCCACCTGACTATTTAATCTTCTATCAGCCTAACTCATGCTATACCCCATGACAGCCTAAGCCCCCCAAAATTACTGTGCTACTGAGTTAAGGAAACTATGAGTATTTGTTGAATCCTATCAGCTAAAAATTAAGAAAATTTTTAAAACTCTATAAATGCTTATTAAGTTTCTCTCTACTATATTATTTATTTGCAAACCAAAATTTCTTACCAACGTTACTTTAGATCACAAAGAAGCGCTGACTGTATTGAGAATGCCTTGCTTTCATTTTTGATTATTCTCAATCGCCTGTTTTCTTGGAAGGCACCAAAATTTAGTCTGAATAATTTTTTCTTCTAAGTAGATCCTTCTCAACTTTGACTCTTTCTGAATGGACTGGAAATGGCTTACTCAGTGTGAACAAGCCTACCTGATCCCCCTCAATAGCTAGACTGATGGATGCTGACCTTGCTTGTTGCCGGCACTGATATGCGAACTAAAGCGTGCACGTCCATCATCTCTCTCCCTTTCTGAACTGCTGGGCTTTCCTGACAACCTTTCAAAGGACACCTGGAATGTCCAGTTGCAACCCGTCAAATTGTTAATGTTATACTAAAGAAATCATGGACACATTAACCCTCAAACTTTATAATAACCCAAGTGCTGGCTGAGGGTCCTGATACTACCATGTTTGGAGAGGGGTGGACGGAGCCCAACTCCAAACTGCCAGCTCTCACTCAGGTGGGTTCCTGGGGCAAACAGGGCCACTGAGAGTAATTTTAGACCCAGGAAATAAAACTGGGGCCCCCTCAGCAAGTGCAGA